ATCTTCCATCAGTTTACACGAAGAAACACTTATGGAAATTGAAAATAATTTAAGCACTCATGTAAGTAAACAATATTAAATAGAAATAATATTATTTTCCCTCGACTTTATACAGTATTTTGCAATGTACTCTATAGTATTAAAATAAATTACCTTCGTTATAATCTTGGTATTGGTAATCTTTTATATGTGGTAGAGCCATGCTGCAGTTATATTAGTAGTATAGTTGTAGCACGAATTTTTCGGCTCGACCGGGGATTGACCACGCTCTCACAGAATACCAGCGTCAAATAGTAGCTTAATGCTGTTGTTTTTCGTATGGTAAGTGTAGAGAACCGGAGACCCCTTTTTACTGGAAACGAGGCATTCCATCTTAGTCCTCACGGGTGACAACGCATCTGCATTTTGATTCGTAATCGAGGATAGATGTAGATGTCTATGGGCCACAGCAACCACTTACCATCAGATGGACTGTGTGCTCGTTTGTATCCTATAAAATCCTATCCTATAAAATATCCTATAAAAAATATTCATTATCAAGCCGTTTGGGATGTTATGAAACCAAAAGTGTAGCAGATTTAACACACAAATCACTTGATATTTCAATTAAACTGTTTACAGCGAACACTAGTTGAATACAAACATTATTTACGGATTTTATCGCGTTTAATTACTTTAATTTATTTTTATTATTATCCCGACGTTTCGGGTGCTTTACAGCGCCCATGGTCACGGGGGGGACTGAGATGTTTGACGTCCCAATGTCATAGTTAGTCCGGCTACCTTCAGTTTTTTAATATTAATTTTTGGTCCGATTTACGCAAAACGAGCTTATAGTATCATGAAGTCTTGCAGTGGTATGCTTGGGTTTGGGTTTAATTTTGTTAATTATAGGATCCCAAGCAGATGGTAGCACCCAACCATCTTCTCTATTGAAATTTGGATGTTTTTTTAATTTCAATAGCCTCGCGTATCATCCTTGGTAGGAATCGGTGTTCTTTTGCGAGAATTTGTGGTTTATCAAATCTAATGTAATGGTGGGGACGATCTTGAACGTGTTCGCAGACTGCAGACTTCCCGGAGCGTCGGTGCTTCACATCAGCTATATGTTCCTTCACGCGGGTTTTTATAGATCTCTTTGTTTGACCTATGTAAGAGAGACCACATTCACAATCTAGCTTGTACACACCTGCATCTTGTAGAGGAATATTACATTCGATGGATGGTAAAAATTGACTAGTAGCTTGTAGTATGTCTTAATGGACGCTCGCTTCAAGATGTAGCCAATCTTGTCTGTGACTCCTCTAACATATGGTAGTAGAGCAGGCGCGCGCTCGACTGTGGCTGGCTTCACTCGTTCACTGTGATGTAGGCGCGGGACCCGAAGCTTGTTGTCTTGCAATACTTGCTTGACGTGCTGAAGCTCCGCGGCCAGATGTTTTCTGTCACAGATCCCTCGTGCTCTCTGAAACAAAGATTTACCCACGGTAGCTAACTGTGAAGGATGATGGTGAGATTCACCATTTAAATATCGGTTCACCATTTAAATACCTCCTACTCAAGAACATTGGGTCATAAATTGCCGAGTGAACATGGCATTGACAAATGCGTAAGCGTTATTATATGCGCGACCTTTGCCCTTCGTACAAGTTACAGAAAGTAACTTTATAATATCTTCTTCAGCTTGAGGATTATTTAAACGTTCCTCGAAACTAGTGAGTTTCTGTAGGTTGCTTATAATTTTGAAATTATTGTCATTACCGCCCTGATGATTAACGTCAGTTACTGGTACCGAAATACGTGTCACCAATTCTTCTAATTTGGTGTTCAATAATGCAAGTTTTTGTAAAATATTTTGCTGATTATCATAAAGTACTTGTATATTTACTTCATTCGCTGATGCTACACTTATTAACTGGTCGAGTTTTTGCGATATATTATCCAGTTTTTCTGCACTAATTCCTGGGATTACTGTGGTCTCAGTGGCTTGATCATATGGTAATTCTATAACCCCAACTTGAGATGAATGTGGTGCAATATCAAAACTGGCATTTTGATCAATTAACTCCACGCCGCTGGTATTTTCCTAAAAGAAAAAAAATCAGCGTACGCGTGGAATCAAAATTTCATACAAACTTTCCCTTAGTGATAATTTCTGGAATAAAAATCTATGTCTTTCTCAGGGTCCCATACTATTTCAAATCGGATTAACTGTTTAAGTGTGAAGAAATTATAAAAAAATCACTTTCGCATTTATATATTAATTAAGAAGTAAGGAAGAAAATATTATTATTAACTTTACCCATTACTTCGTCCGCATGGAATTAAGATTTCATACATAAATCTCCAACACATAATTGTAGATCATTGTAGGGTTTACCTAAAACAAAAGTATTATTTAGACTTAACTAAATTATAAGTCACGCAAATCCTTCTGTTATTTAAATATAAATTTTTTGAACTAAGTTAGGAGTTTATGATTTTATCATTGATCCCTAAATCCACTATCATGGCGTACCGTAAAACCCGCCAACTTTGGTTTTTAATTCTAACATTGGCCACTTGACAAAAATAACAAAAATTTGCTGTAGTAAAAAATATATCTCATATAGCAACATTTTACAACATATTGTGGAAAATAGAATATATTTCTGGCAATACCAATCATACGTTCGGTTACTAAGTTTACTCAGTTGGCTACTTACTTACTAGTAGTTTTACACCCTGCCGGTGGTCCCAAATTGTCCCTCGAGTATAAAGCTTTTTCGCGCTTGAAAAATGATCCAGGTGAGTGGAATTTTTGATATGTTATTAAGTGGAATCATGGTTTTAATATGGTGTACATCTCAAATCAATATGAGTCCTCTATTAATCAGTAATTCAAATGGCCAATGTTACAATCACTTGTAGCAAACATGTGCCGTTAACTTTGGCCACAGAAAAGTAATACTAGGGCTGCACACTGATAATTTTAGAATTCGGTACCTACCTACTCATGAATTGATGGTACTTTTTGCTTATAACTTAGTTTTACAATTAGTTTTGGTATAATACCTAGAATATAGTTTAAAATATGTATATTTGCTTATTATTTATGTCCATATATATTTACAGAATGAATACATCTAAGCCAAAATCAAGAAAAAGTCGCAGGCGCCTTGGTGCCCGGCAATATAAAAATTATTCAAATGAAATGCTTGAAATAGCTGTAGATCTTGTTAGAAAAAAACAGATATCAGCAAGAGAGGCGGCGCGACAATTCGCAATTCCTAAACAGACAATATTAAATAAAGTAAACAAGTCTCATACAAAGTCTGTCGGATGTCCAACGGGATTATCTGATGACGAAGAAGCCGAATTTATTAAAGTTTTAATTGCTGCTGGGGAATTCGGATGCCCACTTAGTAAATTGGATCTTCGCCTCGTCGTGTTTGAATACTTGAAAAAGAATGGACGCGAGGATGTATTTAACGGAGGACCTCCTGGAAAAGCATGGCTTGATAATTTTTTGTCAAGACATTCATCAGATTTGTCAGTTCGATTTCGCTGATGTTCTCAATTACAGCGAATGGGAGCTTGCTACGTATTTACGTTGTCTATAAGGCAGAGAATTTATATTCTGAATGGCTACAGGGCGGACCGCGTGGTACTACTTATAACCGCACAAGATCTGGGTGGTTTGATTCTTTTGTTTTTGAAGATTACTTTAACACAACTATTATGGATTGGGCAAAGTCTTTACCTGGTAAAGGTAGATAATTTATCAAGCCAGTTAAATGTGAGTGTTATCGAATTATGTGAGTGTCACAATATTCAGTTTGTTTTCATTCCATCTAGCTCGACACAGATAACACAACCCCTTGACGTCGCTTTTTTTGCACCACTTAAAAAAGTGTGGCGAGCAATATTACTCAAGTACAAAATGGAAAATCCCAACCAAACTACTCTGAATAAGAATCATTTCCCAAAGCTTTTACATTCTTTAGTTGATCAAGTTGAAATATATTCATCTAAAAATATCAAAAGCGGATTCAGAGCAACGGGGATCTACCCATTCAACCCAAGAGAAGTACTGAAGCTTGTACCAGTATATAGATGTGGCATCATATGGGATTAACAATGCATTGCTAGATTACTTAAAGCAGATCAAGCAGCCAAATCCTATGATAACAAAAAGAAACAAGAAAGTTATGACTGTACCTGGAAAATCAGTAACAGTCGATGATTTACTGCTCACTTCCTAACTCTCAAAATCGAATGTACGAGGCAAAGTCAAGTCATCCAAGAATATTACGACACCCACGAAGGTAGATCCTGCTGCCTCACTCGCAAGTGTCTCACTCGAGAATTTTAATAAAAATTACAATTATTACATTAGTTATATTTTAAACGAAAAAACGGGTCTCATGGAAGCACAAAAACACTGATTTAACATTTGAAACTGATTTACCCGTGATTTCGATAAAAGACCAAGACAAGCCCAAAAAGATAAATATTCTATTCGACATCATTTTACCAGAATATAAGACTGAGCCTATTGCGAAAATTAAAACTAAATACTTTAAAGAAATTGATTCAAGCTTTAACATTTTATTACAAACTTTTCCTTCAGAACGCAATATTATCATAGAAAAACCATATACTGGAAATTCGGATGGTAAGGTAAGAAAAATAGATAATATTGCTTTTAACATTAACGTTCATGGTGTTTTAAGTAGTGACGATAATGAGGATATTAGGGATGTTGTGAGTTGTTCTGCAAATAGCAGAGAGAAGACTAGCAGTAAAAAAGAATGAAAAAACGTCGTTTGAGAAAAACTGTCAAAAAGGAAAACGTCAAACCAGTTAAGAGACCAAGATAATCTCTAGATAGTTCTACAACTACTGAGGAAGATTGGATTAGCACCCATAGTGATTCTGACATAATTGAAGCACTTAGTGATGTTACAAATTTTGAAATAAGTATGGAAGAGTCTACAAATATTGATGAATCTATAAATATGGAAGAATCTATAAATATGGATAACCAAATAATAAAAGAAGATATACATCAAACTGACAAGAATTCAAAGAAAAAAGAGTATTATGTATTAGGAGAAAAAGTGTTGGTAAGATACTATCAATCAAATAAATGGAAGTACTATGTAGGATTAATTGAAAGTGTTAACGACAATTCAAAAACTTTTAATATATCTTATTGCAAATGCATAAAAACAAAGGATTCGGATGATATTAAATTTATTAAACCTAAGTTCTTGGATCGAGATATAGCCGTACCAGAAAGTAACATTGTTAAAATTATAGAACTTTTACAATTCAATGAAAGTCCTGAAGAATATGCATTAATGTGTGATAAGGACTCTGTGTACCTTTAAGAATTTGATATTATGTCTTGTGTTATCACAAAAAGTATATTGCTGTATTTCTTTGGTATTTACTAGAATGTGTCATTTACACGCTCATTTCCTAAAGTTCCTAAAGTATGTTGTTCATTTATTATTTTTTGTTTTCAGTAGGTACCTAGGTTCTAAATAAACAAAACTATCAAGCAATTAGTACCTATTGTTATATATATTTTTATTTATAAATTTGAGTTTTGTTTTTCACCTCAACGTGATGATTAAGTAGTCTTCTGATTACTAAATTGAAAAATGAATCTTTTTTTTTTAAGAATTTTGATCTCACAAATACGTGATAGTAATTTAATTACTTACTCATAACCAATACTTGATATAATTTTATAGTCTATGTTGTTGTCTACTTGCTTAGTAAAAGTGCCATATTTTATATGCTAATATTGTACCAAATAAATCTCATATAATAAAATGCGATTGATTAAAAACATGTTTTTTTTTTTGTAAAACACCCAACCAATATATAATAATTAAAAAAATTGACAACCCTGAGTCTAAAACTGTTTTGTATGGAAATTTAAAAAAAGTTTCGGGTATCTTTGGCCACCTCGCTGTAAGCCAAAATATTTAACTTTTTCGTATTTAACTTAATCGATTGTTTTTTTTTGGAAATCTGTTTAAAATAAATCATGGCTAAAAACTATGTATGGCATCGCCAACATGAAATTCGTTCTGGATTTCAATTAAATATATTCAGCAGATTATACGAGAGCGAAAAACAAATACTTACCTAACGTTAAATATACATTTCATATTCTAATATTTTCTATTCGTTGACAGTAGGCTAATGTATTCGTCCCTTAATGATATCAATTGTGTTACCAATGAGATCAACATATACGTTACCTACTCAAAAGTAACAAAATTGAGGTAACAAAATTTGAGGTTATGGGATTCTTTACCGCCTAAAAATATTATTTTATTAGCTAACGTTGTAAAAAATAGTGAAAACAAGAGTGAATGCATATAGAAATCATTGGAAAAATGTTCTTTTTAATAAAGTATGTACTTACCGTTTAAAGTCCAGTAACAAGTTTGAGTTTAATCGGTACCCACGACACTCGTGCACAGATTGTTTGACACAGAATACATGTCAGCCTACCAATTTAAGATGAAAGGACTTCGACATGGAGCAAAATGTTTACACAGCATTAAAACATCCAAAAAAGTAGTAATTTTTACAAAATATGTGAAATGTCATGGTAACAATGTTGATAATCAAAATTGAGTTAAATTTAGGACAACAAGTAAATTGAAAACATTAATAAATTAAATAAGTAAATACATGTACAAAGGTATCATTGTGTAAATAAATAGTGATGTGATTAATCAAAATGGAAAGATGTACTCCTAAAGTTTTATTTTTTGGTAAAATCAATTTTCAAATCATGTGATAGGTGATAGGACAATCTACAATCCATACATAAAAATAAATAGGTTTCAGAAAATAAATATTTTATTATTTTTAAACGCTTCTGGTAGTATTTTATTTGTGATTAATTATATCTATAGATATGACTTTAAAAGATTTAAAAAATCTGTCTTATATAATTTTTTAAGTTATATTATAATTTTTTTTAAATAATGTCTTATATAGTCACAAAATACACACGAACTTAAAGGACATCTAAATTTAAGGCGGTACAATTTTGGTGAGAACTGCCCATGACGACTATGCGACTAAGTAGGTATTCATATGACTGTTACATGAAACTCTTAGCGTCTTAAGTTGAATAAAATGGGCCCTAATGCCGTCGAGTAAACGTACTTATGATATTTATACAATTACACTAAATAACATTAAGTTGCCACCACAACGTCTACTCAACGTCGTAAATGTTTGTTGGGTGCCGTCGAATAGTGGTCAAAAACCAGTTGAAATATTAAATCCTCCTATTTCTAAACAACTGTCAATAGTAAGTATTACAACCAGGAAATAATTATTGTGTCTGTAGTAACAAAGTAATGGTTATTATACTATTTCTTTTGGGTTTTAGGACAAGACTCCACAGTACACTCCTCGAACGTTGCGAAATAATTGGAAAAATTTAAAGAGTCTTAGAGAAAAAAGTAGAAAGTAGGTTTATGTAAAAAGTAGCTAAACTAGAAAATATTATTGCAGAACTTAAAAAAAAGTCTTTGATACTTGAAGTAGATTATTGTTGACCCCGCCAATAGAAACTTCTTGAAAAAAATGTGGAACCCCGCCTTCATTGGTCGAAAATATTCACCACCTTTACGCAAATTCGCTCTTTGCTTGCAATTTATAATCCCTCGGGCTTACAAGTATGTACGACAACAATTTAATACTTGTCCGTCTCATTCATCAACACTTACCACATGGTACAAAAGTGTAGATGCAAACCCAGAGTTTACAACAGAATCATTAGAATTAGTGTTGCCCAAAATCGGTCTTGGTCTTGTTCTTGCATTTTTGCAAGACCAAGACCAAGACTGACTGTGCAAGATTTGAGCAAGAACAAGACTAAGCCTGCGAGACTCTTGCGTCTTGCAGTTAGGAATGAGTGTCGTTTCAGGGAGTATAGGAGTTCGGGTATACGGACTCTATGAGACGCAAAAAATATATAAAATAATTGGAAAATTGGACTTATGCGCATTTCGAAAAATACCATAAACATACATAGTGAATGAAAATATACATTAAAATAAAAAAGAGTGCATCCCTAGTTTTGACCATTGGCACTTTGATAGTGCCCGGCGTCTTGTTGTCGGCATCATCAAAGGTCGAATACTGACCTGTCAAAGAAATTTTGCAGCTATTCGGAAGTACAAGGTCAAGATACACGCGCCGGCGGCTTCTATTGATATCGCATTCAATGGTCGCCGCCGCGCCGCACGCACTACATTTGACACTATTTGAATGCCGCCACAGAGTACATGTTCCAAAGAATAAAATAAGTTTCCGGATGCTCAGAATAGACACGAATACATTATGCTGATCTCGCAAGGAATATTGTAATTAGATAATGGTAAGGATAGGTAGATACCATAATAATTTATTCTAGTAAGTAATTATTATAATATTAACTATATGGGTTTATAATAATTATAAACATGTTCAATAAGTTCACTGCAAATCTCGATTTTTGGAAGTGTGTGTTTTTAATAATATGTCGTCACCCATTTGATAAATATTGTAGACACTTTTAACGCACTTGAAACGTGTAAACATTTTGTACAATGCTAGTGGAATAATATAAAAAGTGTGCATATTAAATAAAATATAATATGCACACTTATATTATATATATATATATATATATATATATATATAATAAAAAGCGTAAAATAAGATCTGTGTACTTTTTAGGAGCCCGAGTATCTCTTAGAGAACCGTTTAAAGAAATTGATTGCATCGTATTGATGTAAATAACAGTGATTTGCACAATTTTAATAGTAGAAATAAAAATAAAATCACAATACCTGCTTTCCGGTTACACAAAATATATAATGCGTTCTTGGGTAGCGATATACACTTTTATAATAAGATTCCAAACGAAATGTAGATCTTTCACCTTTTCAATTTAAGTCAGACAAAAATGCTTGGAACTGACCTCTCGTACTACACAGGACTAACTAGAAATTTCTAAACCGATTTGGTATCTACATATACATTTTACATTTTATGTTTGACTTATCGCTTTACATAATTATAGCCTATTGTAAAAATATTTTGAAAAGAGCAACTACTGAGTTTCTTACTTTCTTCCATGATTCTTCTCAGTATAATCAGAACCCCTGGACATGGAAAAGAAAAAAATTGGGGAAAACAGTGATTATATGACTATTCAAAAGTTTTAATGCCTATTTGAATAAAACATATTTGAATTTTGAATTTCAAACGAGTGAAGGCAAATTTAATTTAATTAACGTAGATTAATTCAATCACAAGAAGAACATAATATACACAATTTTATTTACATATTTATACGTGGTAGAGCCATGCTGCAGTTATATTAGTAGTATAGTTGTAGCACGAATGGGTCGGCTCGACCGGGGAAGGACCACGCTCTCACAGAATACCAGCGTGAAATAGTAGCTTAATGCTGCTGTATTTCGTATGGTGAGTGTAGAGAACCGGAGACCCTTTTTACTGGAAGCGAGGCATTCCATCTTAGTCCTCACGGGTGACAACGCATCTGCATTTTGATACGTAATAGAGGATAGATGTAGATGTCTGTGAGCCACAGTGACCACTTACCATCAGGTGGACTGTGTGCTCGTTTGTCACCCTATCCTATAAAAAAAAAAACATTTCATTTTTACGTAGGCATAGGGGTCGCAAACCGGGATCCCGAATCTCGAAAATACCGGGATACCGGACTGAAACGAAAGCTTTAAAATACCGGAATTGAGTGAACGGAAACCGGTATTTACGACTTTTCGGTATTTCATTATAAATCTTTGTTAAATAATATTATGTCAAATAATTTTAAATAGCCCACGTTTTTCGCGTGGTGGATATCGCTTTTGAAACCGGTGGTAGATTTTAACGTTCATAGAAGTTTTAGATGATCGTAAAGTAAAGAATATATATGACTCTTTCTAACTACACCATGGAACAAAGAAAGCTCTTACTTGATTTCCATGAAAAAAGTGAAGAAAAAAAGATAAATCGCCCAAGAGCATTTTATGTTTTATTAAAGCTGAGTATAATGAAGAAGTTTATAAGAACATGAAGAAGTAAGCCTATGAAGAAGTTACTTAGCAGGAGTCAAAGATGTTTATATATTTGGCAGGAGTATTTTATGTTATTGTTAAGGTTGATTACTGGAGGTTTCTTATGTTTAAATAGCTTAAAATAACTTAGCAGCAGTGAGTTATTTATTAAACTTTAAATAAATGATTAATTTTTTTTAAACAAATGTGATTTTCTTATCATATGACACTTTTATTGATTGGCTGGTGACAATTCGCTTATTAAATTACGGTTACATTAC